ATGGGAAGAAAATGGAGGTGTATATGTTGGGAATAGGCTGGACGAAATTGGAGATTGTGAGGAGTTCCTTTTGGTGTTTTTGAAATTATAAAGAAGAGTGGAAAATTGGGGTGAAGGATGGTTTAAGAAAGGATGAGATAAATAACAAATCAAGAATAAGAGATAAACACACTCTTATCTTAATTTGGAACCAAATTAATACGAAAGGATAAACTCACCTCTAGATTAACTTGGGGTTAAACTCTAGTACTTAATCAAGATATTACACACTCAATCAAATATCTAGAACCTAAAACTCACACTTAAGATAACCACTCTTAAGATATAGAATTAGGAATTTGGCTAAAATAGCATCACACTATTTTAAGAATAATCAAAAAGTAATCAAAGTTTTAATAATCAAATCTGCTTTTTCAATGGCCATATGGCCGAATTATATACAAGGTAGGGAAGGGGAAAATGCAATGAAATGAAGGTAAAATCAACAAGGGATGCTTCCTATCTCCTTCTCACCAATCAGGCACATGATCACCATTTGTTGTTGTCTCCTTAGTGGATTGAATTCAAGGATATGGTGGGTGGGATTTCTTTTGGCTTGTTTTGGGACATTGATTAAGCTTAGTTTAGCTTGGTTTGGGGTTGTTGTTTTTGGCCAAATCAAGGGAGATAAGGAGGGGATTAGTGGGTGAATGTTTTGGCCCATTATTTCGACCATACATGGGGAATGGGAGGTGGTTGATTTGGTTGGTGGTGTGTTATGAATTTTGGCTGTAAAAGGGAGGGAAAAGACTTTATTTTGAATATCAAAAGGAGATAAAATACTTTTGGGAGTTTTGGATGTTTAGGGTTGGGTTGGACAGAGTTGGGGGTTGACCAACAGAACCTTTGGGTCAAAATGAAGATCATTTGGCCTTTCGGGTTCAAGGACCTATGAATTCAAGTTAAACTGGATCATAATACTTGAACTTAAATCCTTGGACTCTCATGGTCATGTGGGGCATGGGTGACAAACTTTCCTTGTTTTTTTCTTCCTAATTTTATGGTTTACCAAAAATATTGTACATGGATTCACTGACTAGTGTTGCTATGTGGTACAATTTTCCACATTTCCTATGAACACAAATGAAAGTATCTGGCAACCTCTAAAAGCTCTAACATATTGCAGAATGGCAAAACAAGAAAGCTTTAACCAAAGAAAAAACAAGTGTTGAGTCAATAAAAAGGTAAAAAAATTGAAACATCACCAAAAGAAACAGTTCATATTTATAATTAGGGTAAGAGGATCACCAAAACACATGATTACAAGAACACAGGGCCGGTCCTGAGAATTCATATGCCTGGGCCGAAACAGAAAAAAGGCCCTAAAAATTTTATCTCTAATAATCTAACAAATTAACATATGTAAACTAATTATATTTAAATGATAATTAACGCAATATTATTAGGGAAAAATGACAAAATTATAGTATTATAATTACATATCGTAGAAGCTAGCCGGGGAAACGAGAAGTTCTCCTTGCATTCTTTAGAACAAATTGGTTGATCACATCTTCGCAGTCTATACTCTAACATTTCATTCTAAATAGCAATTACCGCCAATCCGCTAAGTCTTTCTTGGGACATTGTAGACCGTAAGATTTCAGAAGCTTCAATTTCGAAAAACTTCTCTCTGCATATGCCACTATTACTGGAACAGTCAACGTATTTTATATGCAATGCAAGCATTCTGGTACCAACCAAGTTCTTTTAAATGCTTCAAATTTGAGTGCATTTTCAAGTTGATGACAAAACAACTCTTTTTGTCCATAGAGCTCTATCTTGAGACTTTTTCATTTCTCCATCTCGTTTTTTCTTTTTTGACTACTGGATAATTGTTTAGGAGCCATAGCTATAGAATTATTTCTAAAATAAAATCTAAATTCTTAAATTCTACTACTTAGTAAAATCAAGTATGAAAAACTGAAAAAGCAAGCAAATAAATAAATATATCATAAATAAATATCAATTCGTCAATTTTTCTTTTTTTAAATTTTTTTTTCTTTTTCAGTTTAAAATTTTTTATAAATCATAAATTCATATCAATTTGTCACTTTATCAATTTTTAATTTTCTTTTTTTTTTTTTGGATTTCAGTTTTTTAATATAGATATATATCATAAATAACAAATTCATATCAATTCATCCAAATCAAATAAATAACATATAGAATCATTAATTCATTCTATTTAAAAGAATGAAATAAGAAAAGATTTCAAATTAAAAACTAATAATTAACCCTAGATTTTAAATCAAAAAAAATGAAATAATGAAATAAAAAAAGATTTAAGAAATAAAAAATTACAAAATTGGAAAGCTATGAATAATTGAATATGGAATACCTGGAGGGTGGAGGTCGGCGTCCGGCAGCGTGACGGCGGTCGGCGGCGTCCTTCAGTTTTCGGCAATGGACTCTTCGCCTCTTTTTCGTTCGGCAGTCTAATCTCTAAATTTTCTTTTCAGAGTTTTTTTTGTCTACAAGGTAAGAGGTGGGCTGGGCTAAGCCTTAAGGGGTGAGGGGCTGGACTGGGCCAGTGGGCTTATATATATATATATATATATTATCCCAGTGGCAAACCACCAAGTCTGATGGGGTAAGGTCTAAGCAACCCTTACCGAGTTTTATTAAGATAGTAGGGAGCCACAAAGTGAGGGGAGGACTATACCAAGGCCTAACGCCAGCCCCTCATACGGAAGACAAACCTTCTGGGGATACAATAACAAATAAGGGGGGCAAGGGAACCAAGAACAGCTTGACCAAGGCCACAATAAGGTTTAAACAACAAACAAGCTAACTAAGGCTTGATCAAGGCCACAATAAGATCAAAACAAACAACATAATAGTCTAGGGCTTGACCAAATCCCCAATATGGTCTAAAACATCAAACCAACAAGACAATCCAAACTCACACTAGGCCAACACGAGCATAACCACACTAAGACAATAAAGGTCATACGGAGAGGCATAGCAACACAAAGGAGTGGTAATCATCTCCAACGGGAGGAATAAAAACCAATCGGAGTCAACCACTCCTTACTCCACAAACCATACATACCAAAGCTAGGAAAAGATATTATAAGCGCACCCATAATATCCAAACTTCTCCATAACCCCAGTATAACCATTAATGGTTTAAAAAAATCTTCAAACAACGCAAACATAATCCCCTAGAAAGTAGGAAAAGGAAAATGAGCGCACCCAAGATCCAAGTTCTCCATACCCTCAGGTAGAAAGGACTGCCTAACCAGGAAATGGCAACACAACTACATGCCAATAAGAGGCTCAGGTTAGCATGAGCTAAAAGTTGAATAGCTATGAACCTGCTGAATATCATGTTGACAAAGGAGCTGACATTGTGCAGGTAGATCAAAAATACCTAAAAAAATCCATACTAGAATGAAGGTGATTACAACACCATTGGACCAGATAATTAGTAACACGATAAGTATAACCATCACAAAAATCAGTAGAAGAACTGCAGCATGAAAGTAAAAAAGGCCAACCTACTGATATGGTCCACAGAAAAAGTGGGATAGAAAGACTAAGGAGCTGTAGCATCTCCTTAAAATCTGCTTCCCAATAAAGGGAAGTATACCCAGAAGTTAAACACCATTGCAGTATGATCAAGAGGATATCCATAGTGGCTCCTAGGGCTGAAGCATGTCCAACACTGCCATAAGCATACAAGAATATACCTTTGGAGTCCCTAACCACAGCACCAGTACCAAATTGATGTTCTTTGGAGAACATAGAGACATTAATTTTCACACTGTTTGGAGGAGGAAACTGCCACATCTTAGTAAGAGTCTGATAAGAACTAGACAGATGGCCATTTAAATTGAAAATAGCCTTCCAATCAGAAAGATTTTTACGGAGGTTAGGCCATTTCCTAGCTGCAGCTTCCACAGCATCCTGCCGTATTTTAAAAATAGTCCTTGCAACATTGATTTGTTTCTCCCCATATTTGATAAAAGTATAATGAACCCAAAGTTCCCAAAGAATGAAAACATGTATACATCGTTTTAATAAAACCCTAACAGTGTACTTTTTAGGATGTGATTTAGCTCCCCACCAAACATTAAGATATTGCTTAACAGTGGATATGCCTTGTTCATTCAGACCAAACATCCCACAGAAATATTTCCACACAGTTTTAGCCACCTCACTTTGTGCAAATACATGCTCAGTAGTCTCACAAGTGGGTTTGGTACAACAACTACACTTGGAAGGGAGGACATACCCAAACTTTTGCAAAGTGGAATCCAGAGGGAGTTTCCTCAGTAAAAGTCTCCAGCCCAAAAAGGACATTTTAAAAGGAATATAAGTGTGCCAACAATTCTGTAAGTAGATATCAACATTACCACAAGGCCTTAAGAAATCTTTGACAGCCTTCATATGAAAACTCCATTGGATTTAGGTTGCCGAAGAGCCTGATCAGCATTATTTGAGCCAAGAGAAGAAAGATCTACTTGAAAATAAATGAAAAAACCAGGGTCCATGAGGGACTGTAAGTGGTCAAAGTTGAAAGATGAATTGATTAAGTACTCCTTGAGAGGTTGTTGCCAATATTTACCATGTGCCTGATTAGTCACCCATGCCAATGGTCCCAATCCAGTCCAATTATCCCACCAAAAACTCAAAGAAGCATCATAAACCCTCCAGGTGATGTATGGCTCAATCCTGGATCTAACGAGAGTCATTCTTTTCCAAATATGAGATTCACCATATTGCCAAATTTTAGCCACAGGATGAACCCTAGAACAGTATTTAGCTTTCATAAACTGGACCCAAAGAGTGGAAGTGGTTCTAAAGTTCCACCAAAGTTNATCCCACCAAAAACTCAAAGAAGCATCATAAACCCTCCAGGTGATGTATGGCTCAATCCTGGATCTAACGAGAGTCATTCTTTTCCAAATATGAGATTCACCATATTGCCAAATTTTAGCCACAGGATGAACCCTAGAACAGTATTTAGCTTTCATAAACTGGACCCAAAGAGTGGAAGTGGTTCTAAAGTTCCACCAAAGTTTAGCACTACAGGCATCCACTATTTCTTACATTCTTGTGAAACCCAAACCCCCCTCCTTAGTAGGATAACTCATATGTTCCCAAGAACTCCAATGATAATGGAGTTTTTGCTCAGATTGTCCCTAGAAAAAATTAGAAAAACTCTTTTCCATCTTCACAAGTACTGCTTTAGGTGGAGCAACAGCTGAAAAAATATGGGCAGGAATAGCTTGAAGAACACTTTTAATAAGGACTTGCTTGCCTCCAGAAGATAAAAGTCTCCCTTGCCATCACTGACACTTTTGTGACACTCTAGCCAAAAGCTTGTTAAAATAGCAGCACCTCATCCTTCCTTTATAGATAGGGCACCCCAGGTAGAAGAAAGGGAAGGATTGATATTGCATCTTGATAAGATCAGCCACACGCTGAATAGTAATATGTGCACTTTTGGGATGCATGTAGAAGGAGCTTTTATGAGTGCTAATAAGCTGTCCAGAGATGTGTTCATAAAGATGAAGATCCTTCATAATATGGAGCACTGAGTGTTTCGTGCCAGATGTGAATATAATCATATCATCCGCGAAAGCAAGGTGACTGATGGGCTGAATGGCATGTGGTTGAGAGAAAGGGATGACACCAGGAGACTGAATTTTATGATCAAGGAGTTGGGATAAGAAATCTGCAGCAATAATGAAAAGGCTGGGTGATAGAGGATCTCCCTGCCTTAATCCCCTTGAAGAAGTAAAGAAGCCCTCTCTCTGTCCATTAATAAGCACAGTGTACCAGATATTAGAAATCATCCTGAAGACCAAATCAATCCATTTCTCACAGAAACCCATTTTTCTTTGGACTTATATCAGGAATGACCAAGAGACCCTATTATAGGCCTTGGCCATATCCAGTTTCAGGATGATGTCCCTATTGCCCAATTGCATACCATAACATAACTCTTGTGTTACAAGAATATTTTCAACAATAGACCTCCCTTGGATAAAACCAGTTTGAGATGGGGATATCACATTGGGCAGAATACTAGCAAGTCTGTTAGCAAGTACTTTAGAAAGAATTTTGCTACTAAAATTATTGGGCCCGGCCCGGACGGACACTTTGTCCCCCTATTGGGCCGGCCCTGCAAGAACAATTGAGGGCGAAAGGAATAGAAAGAAAAGAAACCTTTCATGAATTCGAAAGCAGACGTCGTTGAATCGACTCCAACTATATTAACAGCAGCAAACAATACATGAGACGGAACCACGGAAAAATTCGTGAAATTTGTGCAGATGCACGAGGACTTTGCGTAATATATTGCTATAACTTTGTGTAAAATACACGAGAGTTAAGGATTTAGCACTTCTCCAGCATCATTAATTACTCTAATTACTCCATAACGCAGAGAGATAGATGAAGATGATGGCTAAGAGCAAGGAGAAAATTTGCATCCTTTGGCAACTTCAACCCAACTTCCTGGGCTATTAAAGAAACAAAAAAAACAAAGAAATACGGAGTAAACCATTTTCCAAGGTCTGTTTGGCAGATGACAACACATTTTTGTGAAGAAGGGTACACCAAAAGTGTACTTTAGGTTATAGTCCAAAGAAATGTATTGATATTTTAATAATTTATATTGGTAGAAAATGTTAGTTTAATTAAAGAATTTACACTGACATTTTTTGTCAATATAATTTATCACATTAACATCACACTAGCACAAAATGTCTATATATATATATATATATATAATGGGTGTAATCCACCCAGAATCGGTCAGAGGAAATGACTAAATGTTTGACTAGTCAAGTTGATTATTCTTGAAAAAAAGACTTCATTCGTCAGTGAGGGGGAAGCCAGATTGACCAGAAAGTTGACCGGTATACCTTGGATAGTATGCTGGTCAAACCTCTTTATCGCCTAATTCATTTATCAATTTCAGATAACCCATCCCTTAAGAACTGCCCAGTATAGTTTCTATGGTTGGAGAGCGTCGGCAGAGAAAAATCTAAAGTAGTTTGGACCGTAGCGACCAAGATCAGTGGAGGATCGCTGGAGATGCTTGAACACTCCATCCAAAATGCTACATGACAAGGGAGCAATCTTCCTCGCTAGGAGACAAAGCGGCTAAAGGACAATGGCCATCACCTCCCACCTTCCGAGAACGTGCCTTGACGTGGGTGCACGACACTTTGTCCCCTGAGTCTTAGTATAATTATTGTTGTAACCTTCGATGGAAGGGATTCGAATTCATTCTCTCTAAACTCTCTTGTAAAAGCTCTCGTGTATTCTCCTATATTTATAATATCAATTGGGCTACAGGTGTTTCCACCTACAGTCCTTCCGGTCATTTGTGTGTTTTTACCTTTTTACTTTCCGAATCAAGTAAACAATCCTAGACCCGGTCTAGTATAGTTCACCCGGTTAGGTAATTTACACCATCATTTTTGGTGCCACCCGTGGGGCCGTTAAGGTTTCTTTTCATCTAAACACAAACCTACCCACAAAAGCACCACTCAAAATGTCTTCAAGCCATCAAATCAACGCTACTTCTACTCAGGTGCAGACCACCGCTGAGGGGGCCACCATCTCCATGGTTGCTACCCAACCGCCTATTTTTGCTCCAGTGGTGCCATTGGGTTTAAGTTCAATCCCAACACCAAGCGTGGTCACCCCGTTCACAATCCCCGTCCCTTCTGCTGGACCGAGGGTCACATTCCCACCAAGCATGACCCAGTTCATGAATGACCCGGCCAACCTATAGGCCATCCAAGGCTTTGGCCAGGTCATGGCCATGTGTCAGCAGAATGGGGGGATGCCATTCCTCCCAGGCATGTTTCCATTCGCCCTTCTAGGCGCTGGAACGATGCCCTTTCAAACTCCAATGATAGTGTCGCCATTCCAGACGCCGGTACCACAACCATCACCTTTCCAGCCGCAGCTGGTCACTACTGTGGCCCCCGTCAACTTGACCAGTGTGCTTAACGCCGCTGGGCCGCCATGTCCTCTACAGGGTGCAAATCTCCAAATTACTCCCGACGGTCATTGCGTCTCGGTTGAGAGCGGAGACGATGAGTGGGACATCCCCAGGACCCACAAAAAGAAGAAAGGAAAAACCATCCGGCCGGAAACTTCCCGAAACTCTACCTTCGAAAGGCTTTGGGATAGGGAAGAAGGTCAGAAGAAGTCGGCTAAGCTAAGATTGGGGCAGAGCGTTGCCCATGTTAGTGTTTTTGCCCGGCTGGGAGAGGGGAGGGAGGCCGAGCCTACCCCTACCCAGCGCTCCCGGTCAAACCGGCAAAAGCCTGTGAAAACAAGAGCTTCACGCCAGGAAGAAGAAGCAGAAAGCCAACCCCGGGGACCGGTGATCAATCGACTAACCATGCCGAATGATCGCGTCCAGCAAATGGAGGCGAAACTGGAGAGGCTGGAGAAGAAAGTGGGGGAGAAAAATGACCGGGATAAACCCCTCGCCGTGTCCCCGTTCACCACAAGAGTCCATCTGACACCTTTCCCGCGAAAGTAAAAATAGACGCCCCAAGGTTTACCGGGAAGGAGAATCCAGAAATCCATCTGGATTCCTTCAATTAAAGTGCAAACCATGAATGGGTGCACGGATGAAGAAAAGTGCCTCCTTTTCTTCCAAACCTTGCGGAACCGAGATACTGAATGGTTCAATAAGCTCCGCCCAGGAAGCATTGATTCATTCAGCAACTTGGCCTCAAAATTCAAAGCCAAGTTCCAGGAGAATTATACTAAGAGGAAGAAGTTCACATATCTTAGAACAGCCGGGCAGAGGAAATCTGAGAACCTCACTCAATTCCTTACTTGGTGGAAAGAAGAGGTGGACAAGGTTGAAGAGATGGATGACTTGTCTCTCCTATTGAATGGCTTACGTGCCGGGGAACTATACAAAGAGTTTTGCTAGAAACCTCTGGCCACGTATCAGGAGGCCAACCATACGGTGTGGGAATTTGCGGAGGCTGAAACCCAGCTCTGGGCAAAGAAAGAAGATGAGCATGGCTTCAAGCCCAAGCATGTGCAAGTCAAGAAGGAAGAAGCATCGGGACCTAGCCAACCAAGGTATGACCTAGACCTGGCAAAACAGAACCGGAACCGATTACGCGAACCAAAATATTCGAAACCGAAATCGAAATGACCCGAAAAATGAAGATCCGATCTATAACCGAAAACCCGAAATGATCTGAATCGAACCGAAACCAAACTAAATAATTCATATCCAATTTAAATCCGAAACCGATTATATCCGAAACCGATAATATCCGAACCGATCAAACCCGAAACCGATTAGATCTGAAACCGATAATACCCAAAACCGATAAAACCCGAAACCGATAAGATCCGAAACCGATAATATCCGAACCCGACTAAAACTAAAATTGATAAACTCAGAACTATGTTTGCCTTTCAATAAGCATATTACTCCCTCCGTCCCACTGTCTTTGTCCCCCACACCATCCAATGGTGAAGAAATTAGGTAAAATAGAACATTAAACATATAATTTTTTAATATTTTTAATATATAATTATTAGATATACAATTCTGCTTAGTTTGTTCTAGTGTGTACTGATAAAAATCCGAATGTGTAACTCTCTTAAACTACTCAGTTTCACGAATCTACTTGTCAAGGTTTTCAGTTTTGACCTGTAAGACAATGGGACGAAGGTAGTATATTTTTAAATTTTTACTTTTATTTTATCATTTGAACTAATTACATTACTTGCTCATTCCCTCATAAAATGGATTATCTTCTTGAAAAAAAAGTACAAAATTTTATGCCTTAAATTTATTATATGTAGAAATTAAAGATAAGTTATACATATAAATGAAAACGCACAAACAAACAAAATTTCCGTAATTTTTAAATAGTGAAGTGTGATATTCTTTTTGGGACAAAAAGATTATATGATGAATTGTATGGAATAACTTGATTTTATCCTAATTTCATCCTATTACAATAAGTTTTATTGATTTGAGAGATAATTTAATTAGTTTCAAACCAATTCACTCAATATTGGTCAATAAAATTAGATGCTAGTGTTAGCATTTTGAAAAGATTATCTAGCGACAGCATTTAGTGTTATCATTTTCAAATTTGATCTACACTATTACATTTAGGTGTAAAATTAATTATATTTGAATCTATTAAATTTTATTTTATCTATTTTCAACCAAATACACTCAATAATTTTTAATTTTTGCACTCAATTGAATAAAATTTACTTAATTTCACCCAATTTTACTCAACTTTTACCAAATATATTCAAATGGAAAATAACACTATTTAAATTTATCTTTTATCTTTTCATGTATAAACATAAGTATATTAGTAGATGTAAGAAAATTTTGATATTTCAAAACTAAATTTTAAAATCAATTTAAATATAATTTATATCATAATTAAATATATATGTTTTCATAATTTGTAGTCCAAATTTGTAAAATATGACTCAAAAAAGGAAGGTTATTTAGGGTAGAGATAATATAATTAGAAAAAAATATAAAATAGTATGAGATATTGAATTGATGATAGATTGAAAAATGTGATAAAACATAAAAAGAAATATGCATAGTTAAATTTTATATATATCCAAAATATATTTGTTCCGAAACCGAAATATATCCGACTCAAATTGTATCCAAACCAAAATCTATCCGAACCGATTTATAACCGAACCGTATCTGAACTTACTCGAAACCGAACCGAACCGATTATAACATACAACCGAAAGATATCCGAACCGAAAAAATCCAACCCGAAACCGATCCGGTTGATTCGATTGCCACCTCTACTATGACACAGTCATCCGCGTGGTCAATACTGAAGAGTGCCAAGAAATAAGGAAAGCAGTGGTCAACCCTCCGGTAAATCCTACCGGTCAGCCAGGGCGACAGTGGTCGGACACGTATTGTTCGTACCATAAATCTGACTCCCATAGCACTTCGGAGTGTAAAAATGTTAAAGGGGTTGTCCGGCAAATGATAAATTGTGGAGAGTTGGGCAATGAATACTTGCAGAAGATCCATGAGAAGAATCATTAGTGGATCAGACCAGCAGCCCAAGGGAATGACCGGGACAATGACCGGCGAAGGAATAACCGGCAGAGAGAGCAGCAGCGTGCCCCCGACAAGGAACACATTAGAATGATCTTTGGCGGACCTGAAGGTGGAGATTCGGCCGCGCATCGGAAGAACTGGGTCCGCAGCATTTACTAGGGGTGGGCACGAGCCGGTCCGAGCCAAGATTTTTATAAACCGGACTCGGCTTGTTTTTATTAAAACGGTCCGGGCCGGAACGGGTTTTCAAAATTTTAAAATTGAAACCGGACCTAACCCGGCTTGTTTGAAACGGGCCGATTCTACGGGTCAACGGGTCCGAATCTATCACGATACTAATATTAAAAACATAAAGGGATAATAAATTAATTTAAATCATCCAACACAAAAAAAGAAGCGTAAATGAAAATAAAACAATGACAAAGAGGGGCATGAGAATAAAATGTACACCCCATGATTATCCAACAACAACAAAAAAAGAAGACAACCACATTTTGGCATTATAATGTCAATGGGTTTCAAAAAGAACAAAATTCACAATCTTCATGGGTTCCAATTCTCTGACTACGAAGAGTTTTCTCACTTTTCTGTCTGCGATTGGAAGGACCGAAAGATTGAAGGGCTTAGGCAGGTATATTTCTGTATATCCGTATATTTATTAAAAATAATATTAAAAATAATATTGAGATTTAAAAAAACGGTCCGGTCCAGGTCCTAAACAATTTCAAAATAGGGAACCGGACCGACCCTAAAATCTATAAGGACCGGACCGACCCGGACCGTTTGAAATTTTTGAAAAGAGGACCCGACCCTAATCCAGACCGAACCTAGAAGTCCGGTTCCGAATCGCGGTTCCTGGACCCGATTGCCCACCCCTAGCATTTACGTCGGAGAAGTGAGTGCTGACCCGGTCAGGCGAAAGCAGACCAGGAGGGAACCGATCATCTTCACTGACCATGACCTTATAGCTACCGGTGAAGATCATAATGACTCTATGAGCTTTAGTGTTAAAAAAAGTAATGTATGTTTTATATAAATAGTTGGTTTTGGAAATTCATAAAAAAATCACTCACAAATATTTTAAAAATTGTATATAATATTTTTTAAAAATAAAGAACCTTCTCTTTAAAATAAAAAGATAACAAGGTAAAATGCATATTTGTATAATACCCCCGAGTACCAAGTAAATAGAAAAAACTAAAGTAAGAATAAAATATACGGAGTATAAAAAATGTCAAACTAGGTCTTCATGTGTTTTATCACGAAAATAGAACTACAACATTAATAATGGCAAATTGGCAATATATAATACCAAAAAAATTAGAGTAAGATGCCACTACACAGTAACATAATGTTATAGTGCAAACAGCTATTGTCAGGATGAATACTATGTTGTAGTCCTATTTAAAGTATTTTTTTAAATAAATAGAAATGTAACACAACATAAATAGACTGTTTTTACTCTGCAAAAATTAACGATCATAGAATGTAATTACTGAGAGGTTCCCATGAGGGGTTCCAATATCATTCATGGATGACTCGGGGCCACTACAGGGCTTCATTTGTAAAAGTAATGGTTACCACCCCTCATGACCCTCCCCCCACCCCCTTCAGAATGGACTCCAAAGTTAAAATTAATTTGGAAAGTGCAATTGAAGGAGTGGTATTCTGGTTGGGGCGAAGTGGGGGTTTGCCGGGGGAGTTATGGGGGTAGAAACTTTATATTTTACGAATGGAGCACCGTAACGCTCCATATCATCCCATGACATGGGATTCTAATATCATGGGACAGTCGGGACGTTGTTCTTATTATTATTATTATTATTATTATTATTATTATTATTATTATTATTATTATTATTATTATTATTATTATTATTACTATTATTATTATTATTACTATTATTATTATTATTGTTATTATTATTATTAAAATAAAATACAAAATTTTGAAGTTTTAAAATTAAAATTTATTTATTATTCCTTCCATCTCAATCCATATTACCTGTTTCAAATTACCATGTTTGACTAAAACTATTTTATATGAAAAAATGATATAGATTTAAAAAATAAAAATTAGATACTCCGGGGTATTAAAATACTACTCCCTCCGTCCCAAATTATAATGCCTGTTTACTATTCACATGGTCAAATTTCATTCACTTTCTTTCTCTATTTTCGTCAGTAATTTGATAAAATAAAATATTGTTGTCACTACTAGTTTTGTAGATCTTTTGAAGTAGTATTTTGATATGTAATTTTTATTTTTTAACTATATACCATTTGTCATATAAAATGATTTGAAAATAATTTCAGTCAAACATCGTAAACCAAAACAGGCGCTATAAAATGAGACGGAGGAAGTACATAAAAGATCTACGAACCTAATGGCTACATTACTATTTTATTTTCTCAAATGGCTATCAAAAAATTAATAACATTTTAGCATGTAAATAATAAACAGGTAATTTAATTTGAAGTAAAGAATATATTTTTAATAATCAAGTAAAATAACTAGTGGATAATTTTCCTAAAATTATATTTTTAAATTTTGTTAATTTCATATAAATTTTTTAAATTATACAGTGTAACATAATTTTGCATCAGGGAGATTATTTGGTGTTTTAGCACATGTGATTACTACTATCCAAAAACATTAACACTATGTTTGGTTCAAGGAAATTTAAAGACAAAAGCAAAGTAAATTAGAGGTCAAATAAATTTTCATGTTTTGGTAGAGGAAAAACCAAGGAAAAGAAAATGTAAGAAGAGATAAAATAAGATAGAAAATGAATTTCCTTCAGTTTTGATGAGAAAAAAAGAAGGAAAACATATTTTTTTTGCTTTCAAATTCCACTAACCAAACATAGTCTAAACCAGTACTAACTATCACCAGGTTATTCCCGTTTGAGACAGGCAATAAATCAGAAGCAAAAATGTAGGGGAATTAGTGCTAAAGAACAATGAAAATGCCTGGAAATTATTAATTAAGAGGCTAGAATATTTGCTTGTGTTCTTAAATAAACAAAATCCGATACAACAAATATTTGACTCAGCCAAAGCAAAATATCGTCGGCTGTCAGTGTGTCTTTTCAACTGTATTTCCTAACTTTACTCTGTCTTTTTGTTTTCTGTGGCATCTTGAGCTTCAGAAACTTTAGTCTTGGACTCGTCAAACTCCAGCAGCTGCACCCAAAAAAAAACAGAAAATCATAAGCCTTTGTCTTGTTTTCCTGTGTGGCATCCTGAGTAACTTCGCTTCGCATCATACGATCAACACACAACACACTCTAAGATAATGAGGCAGCACAGACAGATAGTACTCTCCATCTCCATTTGGTTCCAAATTTGACTGGGCACAGTTATTATGAAACTAAAGTTGAGGGGTTAACATTTTCCATATCTAGTACTCCCTCAGTCCCCATTTTCATTACAATTTTTTTCTCTTTCTTCTCGATAATTTTTGTTTATTTACACGATATCATTAAGTATTTGATAAAATAAAATATTCTTGTCACCTCTTGTTTTGTAGAACTTTTGACGTAGTTTTTCAATATGTAATTTTTATTTCTTATTGATATACCGATTTATAAATAAAATGATTTCAAAAGGTGGGATATTTTTCCTTGTAAACTCCAATTTGTAATCGAATTGGGGATAGAGGGAGTAGAAGAGAAATAATAATATGAACATCATAGTTGTCATGGTGTCACCTAGGCAGTGTCCCGGTTTGCCGGGGATGCCCCTCACCATATTTATTGTCAGGCAGTTTGGGCATCACTTCGGGTTCACTTTGGCATTCACTATGGGGCATCTCATCTCACCCAAAGTTGCCGCAAGTTGCCTAGGGCTTAATAAGATGGATCCGACTCTGTTCATAGTTGTCATGGTGCCTGGCAACAATCGTGGCGATGGACCAGTTTCTTATGGCGAAGGCCATGCGCTGGCGCAAATATGACGTCGCCACAGGTCACCAGTCATAATAAGAAATAAATTTTTAAAAAATAAATATAAATAAATCACAAAAGATAACAATATTTTAAAAATATGAAAAAACATAGTCATAACAAGACAATTTAAAAATGAAACATAGATAAACAAAAAGAAGTATGATTTATGAAGTACAAAGTATAAGAAATTGATATCCTTAAAATGTTTAAGACCCAAAAAGTACTAAATTTAATTAAAAATAAACTAGAAGTTAATTAAAAACAGAAAGTGAAAAAAATATATATAACTAAATTAAAAACAAAACGTCCAATTGCATAAACTTAATTCTCAAATACTATATCAACTTTTGTTGTCACCTTCAAAAAAATTAATTCTCAATCCCAGAAAAAATGTAAAGCAATAAATTTTAAAATAAATAAATAAAAAAGGAATTCAAATCTTAAAAATGCGATGCGCAAAGGGTAGGGTTTCCGTAGGTCGAAAGTCATAGGCTCATAGATGTTCATGTAGCGGAACCACAATGTTACTCTCTTCTCAAGCCGCGACTAGCAAAGAAGAAAAAGAAAAGTCGCAATGGCGATGTTCTTCGAAGAGATGTGACTGGTGAGCGACTAAAAGGTTAGAATAAAAGGGTTTTTTTGGATCCGGCCCAAATATATTGGACTGGAAAACTTTGGGCAAAAAAAAATGGCGCACAAATAGCGATGGCACCAAAATGGCGTTGCCGTTGAAAGATCAGTTGCCACAACCAGATTTGCGGCGATTGGGGGGCTATATCGCCAATGGCACATTTATGGCACGCGCCATTTGCACCATCAATAACATTGTCTCTCTTTTTTAGTTTTTTAGTTTTTTTTAAGTCTCTAGGCCTAAATAGAATTCGTCTCTAGCCCTAAATAGAATTCCCTCGCAGTTGTCACCAGATAGTGCCTGTGTCAGACTCCACCAGAAACATCAATGTTAGCACTTCAATGCAGGAAGCTACTCAGGATGGATGAAGAGAGCTTCTATGATGAATGTTAATGGAAATAGAGTTTCTCAGATTGAGAGAATGAGAAGAAAGAATTGTAAGAAATGAAATCTTCTTCATTGATAACGCAAGAGCATACAAAAGGGGGCTATTTATAAGCGTGCAATTAGTTAGAGTCGTAAGTGACCCAACTAACTATCAAGGGCATCAACAACCTCTAACTAACTCACAATAGCTAATCCTTCCTGTAAGAATCGACCCTTTTCGTTTACTTCCCCATAACACAGACTCGCAGCCATCAATAGGTACAAGTTAGTTGAAATTTTCTTCTCCGTTCTCAATTTGGTGGCTACGTCGTTCTTCTTTAATTATAATAATAATAATAATTATTATTATTATTGTTGTTGTTGTTGTTGATATTTCATTAGATTGTATTAATCCATAGTTTTGGAATATCATATAAATATGATGTTTATTTATGTATACACAAAAAACAAAGCCAGTAAACTCCACAAAAGAATAGATCTGGGTAGGGTGTTTGTATGCAAACCTTGCCCCTACTCTAGGAGACACTCACCTCAAAAGCTAAAAAGTCAAAGTGGCATATTCAAGACCGCGAAAAGTCAAACAAAAATAAACTTATGAGGCAGAAGGAGTGTGTGTACATATGTATGTATATACATGTCGCCATATAGTCAACATATTGCCGTCTAGGAAAGCGCCTAATCGATTAGACGATGGGAAAGACCTTGTGACCGCAACAACAATGATTAATGTTTAATTCTTTTTTCTACAGAAACCCTTTTGATAAAATAACAAGTTCGACTTTTTGATATGCTAACTCATTTTTTTTCTAACTTTTCAAATATGCCTTCAATTAGAGTTTTTGATAAAAACTTTTTGAGAATGATCATATAGCTTTATCAAGGGACAGATGGAGTATATGTAAAAACATACCGGTTTAACATCCCCGTTCCAAAGGCAATGCACAGCCAAGAATCCAATAACAGCTGGAACAATGTATAACAGTGCTGGCTGTAATATGAGTTACGAAGGGGTCAAAATTAGATTTTTAAAAAGCAATGTATTAAAAGCTCGATTTGACAAAGACTAACCTGTGCAGCTTGAAACCAGTTCATCACAAAAATGGTGAGAGCCAAACCGGTTATGTACCCTAAAAATGAGCTTGTGAAGTATTGGCTTTGCCTCTCCCTTGAAGCATCAAAGCGGAGTGCTAATGCCACAAAAATTCCTGTGTGCAGCAGGTATATTAATAGAAAGGTTTGTTAACTCATTCAAATTTGTTGCAGGAAATGGCCTCATTGCAAGAAATCAAGAACTAAGGTAAACAAGCATTTGTATTTAAACAAAAGATAAATAGGGAGGGAGGGGCACAGAAAAAAAGTTTTGTTAAGGTATTTGGAATTTAGATCGCTTGGAAATTTGTAATTTCCGCGAGATCATAGGGATCAACATTCAAGGGCATAGAAACACTCATAAGGTAGAAGCTCTTACGACTCAAAGGCTTCATCGACAGATTAAAAAAGGTGTCAGATATTCAAGAGACTCGTGACTCTGAATTTTGAACACGACTCTTACAGTCAGAAATTGAACAGACTCATTTGCAATTCATAGGCTTCATCGACTGAAGATGACTATGAACTGTGCGGCTTTTACTCCATCACGCTTAACCTCTGATTCTCTAAGAAAGTTTTGAACACCTCACGGTTCTACCTCTACCTCGGATTCTCTGAAGAAGTTTCAAACAAAATATCTGCAACCAGTCTTCAACCTGCACAACCTTCCAGACTTCGAGTCTCTGGATCTTTATTCAAAGTAATAATCTGTATTACTCAGACACTCAGGTATATCACTTTGCTTCACATATTTGAAGCCAGAGTAAATCTCTGTTTTTATAAATTTGATTTCTGTCTCTACATAACTCTACTCCTGTTTTAGAATTAATTTTTTCACAATTGTGTCCCAGATTCATACCACTTTTCTTTCCCCACTGTTGTAGAGGTCATGTATTCAATCCCCACTTGTCTACAAATTTGTGTTCTATTACAGAAGTATAAAAAAAACCTAGCAATTTTTTCCCGTCCCAAAATACCTTACATGATTGACTTTCACGAAGTTTTTAAGAGTTCAAAAGTAAAAAGTGTATGTGTAAAATTTGTTTAGATGAGAGAGAAATCCTGTGAGCCACATGTTCATTACTAAAAACGGAAATAAAGACATAAGTAAGCGGGAAGTATTTGTCACTGTAAAGTTTTTGGGGGCAGGGTGAGTATACATAGGATCTTAAAATCTTTGTCACAGTCTTACCATTAACGGCCTTTAATTCCTAACTCAACCCTACATAGAACCTCAAGTTTGACTACCTTGACTACAAATGGACAAATAAAGACCACACAAAAGAACTTCAAAAAAAACTGACATAAATATGACCTAAAACAAATCAGGTTGAAGGAGCAGCTTTCAGTTGTTTAAAAAACTTTACACAATTTGAAGCTTCAATCTTCCAAAGTACTATGGATTTTATACCAGGTATAACAATATCTCCAAGGCCCAGCATTGAAAATGGACGTTTAGTATCTGCAGTTGGGAACACAAGCTGTGTGATTTGAAACAACACAAAGTTAGAAATTTGACACGCCTATACCATACTAAGTTACAGTAATGAGATAGAAATGGGTTAAGTCGATAAGAGCTACAAACCTTGATGGGAGCATCAAAAGACTTTGCTACACTAACCATCACTGGAGTAAAAAAGACCCAGAAAATATCATATACAAAAAGTCCAGCCTGCAAGTTTTTAAAAACATGAGATGCCATAGGACTACTGCTTGTAGATACAGAGCTTAGAATCTAAAGTAAAAAAAAATTTATGGAACCCAGTAATCTATGAAAATGGTTCACACATCACTCAAAAAAAATATGAGTACAGAACCCATGAAACATTGAAATGGGAACACTCATTCTTTTTTTATCAAATTAGCGGTAATTACCATGTCAACCAAAGCCTTGTACACGAAACACGTGGTGTATGGGGTTAATATGAATTGATATAATATGTGCACACAATAACTTGTAATTCATTCTTACCAAAAGAATGGCACCAGTCTTAAATGAGCCAAGTGAAAGCATTTCTATTCCCTGACAACATAACATAAAACAGAACAAAACTATTATGTTGGTCAATAAATATAACCATGGAAAAAAAATGTAGTACCAAGTCTCATAATTTCCAATAACCTAACTCGCTAAGCACGTTGTTATTGTGTACTCCATCTGTCCAATTTTATGCATCTTACCATTTTTTGTCGAATGTAAAATAATGATTATTTCCCTGATTGAAACTGTTTTAAGTTGTGCATTTTTAATATTGTTTGATTACGTGATCCCTACCAAATTGGCTCTTTCAAAAGCATGTCACAATGCATTTATTTTCAAATTTCAATAAAATATCAAAGGCATCTCCATGCATGAAATTAAGACCAACATTATGAACATGTTGTGCAACATGGCCCTCTAAATGTTGCACACTACAAATAGTTAACACGAAGAAAGGCATGCAAAGGGAATAGACATCCCTCAAATAAAATTATCTATGAAAGCATTTACAAATACTTATGGAACCCAATTATTATCTATGAAAAGGGTTCCCATCTTGGAAACAAAAGCAGTGCACAACTCCAAGATAGGCATGCATAGATAACCGACCTGGATGCAGAATGCAAGCCCCAAAATGTTGTTTGCAAGCCAATGCTTTTTCTTTGCATACCATACACAGAAAAGAGTTCCAGGAATTGCAGCTACAATCTGAGACCTTGTGAACTTGATATCCAAAGCTGACAAAGGAGGGTGAGGGAATAATACCACAGCTTACTACTTAAGATTCTGCCTAAGACATGATAAATTTTTGGTGCTTAAAATAAGCATCCAGTGTGGATGGGCATATTTTGCTTCAGTAACCACACTAGGAAAAAAAACACAGAGTATAGAAGGAACGAATGCGAGCCTCTACTGTATAAAAAAGCTAAAATTTCATCATATAAAATATAAGCTTAAATCCAAGTAATCTTACAGTGAAAATATGGAAAACGCCAACTTATGTGATCTTCGTTCCACTTTGTTGGCAAGAAATTCTTAATTTCAGGTAACAATGTTGCTCTACAGATTTTAATAGACAGGAATTTGACATGATATTACTCATCTATTGACATAAAGTATTAAGCATTAGTGAACTGATCCATACTAAAAGCACATACGACAGAGCTGCAATGCCGAGTACAAAGAAGTAACATGTCAGGACAGCATTAACCAGGTCTTTAGATAAGAACTTAAAAAGCAAGAACAGTGACAACAACATTGCACTTCCAACTAAGGGAAATCGCATTGCATGTTCACTAGACATTGATTCCTACAAATAAAAAATAACAAATATTTAGGCATCATCATATATGATCTATATACCTATGTAAATCTTTTTTTTATTATCATTATTGAAGAAGGCTGCAACACATGGAGTAACTAACATACCGAAGGTGGAGTTGGTTTAACAGAACGGTAGCAACCCACATACACTGTGAGGCAAGCTGTTAAAATGACATTCAGATTTGGGTCTATATTTATCACAAGTGGAGCAAATGTTAAACCTGAAAAAGAACCAGAAATCAAAGCATAATTAGCGACTACAATCCTGTTAGTATTTCAAAATTCAAAGAGATCACACCATTAAACACTTTATCAACATCCTCCGTCACCTCCATGCTACGGGACATATGGTTCCATTAATACATGCAACCATCATTGTTGGTTTATTTCTACCAAGATGTGACAAAATTAAATGGCGGGGCTGGGATGGGCTATTCAAATCATCATTTTTGAGTGTATCTTTATGTTTAAAATTTTCAACTTTAAATCATATATTAGTACTATGCATTGCTCTTTATGTATTTATTGGCTGACACTAAATCCACACCCAAAATGGCTACATCCATATCTTTCACCTAAATGTGTTGAATCCACAACAATATCAAACTTATATTAATGGGTGCGAATTTAGAAACTTTAGGTGTAAGGTGTAGATATAACCATTTTGGGTTTGGATTTAGCAACACCGATATTTATTCAAGTAATTAGTCTATGAGCATTTTTCAATTATCTCCAATGTAGCCAAATAATCACTACTTTTTGGATTTGGGGTATGATGGATTAAAGTAAAATGGCTCTTTAAATTGCTTGCGCTTCTTCTAATAGTGAAGTAGCGGTTAGTGCAACATTCGACACTCATCATGGGCATATAGAAACAATTTCTCAACGTTTAAAACATAGAGGTCAGGTTGTGTACATCTAAGCCTCTTAACCCACAACGGGCAGGAACCTTTGAGACACTCGGGTAATATTGTTGTAGTTAGTCTATGAGCATTAGGTTTAAAATATATTAGTATTATTCATCTTACAAGTTACAACCTCAAAATTTAAAATATAAGAACAAGATTCATCTTCCACATTGAAAATCAAACAAAACGAAAATAAAATAAGAACTATGAAGACATTATTAAGTTATACTCTTGTAATGGCTAGTAAAACATAAAAACATGACACTCTGGCTATAGTCAATCTATTAAGCTAGAAACAAGAAGGTATTTTCAGAGCATTTATTGGAAGCAGGATGAAAGTTAAAACAACCAAAAGTTAAATAATTAAAAAAACTAAACAAACCAAATTTTGACAAAAGCATAAATAAAGCTCAATCTGGTAAACAAATTGACCTGTTAAAAGTATATTTGCTAGACGCTCGTTGCTCTTCATCCTTAAGACTATGAATCCTTGGTCCCGTATCCTTGCTCTTTTCTGCTTCACGCTGCAGCAGAAGGTATATCACATTAATCTAAAAAATCCCAGAGATAAATTTGGAGTGGAAATGTCCATGGCACATGATCATTGCAAAATTAGACAAAAAAATCACTATCTTTCCGTTCGTCCGAGGAAAAGATTTTCACTCAAAAATTAAAATCATCAAATGAATCCCACCCATTACAGAGAGAATCAAATCACGATTGATCTTTTTCACGGCGGGCAACAATTTCTTCAACCACTAGGGTAACTAAATCTAGACGAATTGGACAAACATTTCGGAAATGAAAATTCGCAAGATGAATGTTTCACCTGCTAGGTGACGCGCGCGATTCTTGACTGTATATGGATCGGATTTGGAGCGGCTACCACTCCTACCAGGGTTTTAAGAGGAGATAGAGATGAAGACAGTGAAATAAGGAACGCTGTAATAATAAAGATCTTATTTTTGGCTTCAATACGTTAAAACCGTAAAGACGCGCGTAGGGATCGTCATACAAACCAATGAAAGTTTGACATGTGGGTCTGACGTGGACTTCATGAGAGCCTATTGATGAGGGCCTTGCTGGGTTAATATAAGGCCATTGTTATGAGCCCAATGCTTGCCTAGGCCAGAGTATTGTTGGATAAAAAAGTTTTTCAACTAATCCGGTTTTGGTATTCCAGCAGCACTAGAAAGCTTAATATCGTTAGATCCGTCCAGATAATGAGTATTCCGAGTTTAGATTATTTCTAGAGTTTACTTTGTGAATAATTTTTTCAATTAGGGGCTGTTTGTTTCAGCCTCTTAATGGTTCAGATGTCTGAATGGTTCAGCACTTAATGGTTCAGACTGTTTGTTTCAACCTCTTAATGGTTCAAATGTCTGAATGGTTCAGACATTTGCCTCTGGATGGTTAAGTATTATACAGAGTCTGAATGGTTAAGACTTCTTATCTGAATTGATCAGACATTTGCCTCTGAATAGTTAAGCAATATACTAGCTCTTAATGGTTCAGACCTCTTACTGGTTCAGCACTTAATGGTTCAGACCTCTTACTGGTTCAGCACCGAAGTTGTCAAACAGCCCCTTAGTGTCAATATTTTGAATTATTTTTCAATGTTGCAAATTAAGTTTAAACTTTAAAATGTTACTCCCTCCGTCCGGGATTGATAATCCCACTTTGTTTTTTGGTCATTTTTATGAGTGGTTGACTATGGGATGGAATGGTCCAAAATACCCTTCCCTAGTCCTGCTAATTCCCCCATCTCAATCTGTGCCATCCCCCATCGCCGGCATACCCCACCACAGCCACCAGCCCCACCACCACCGCCAACCCCACCTTCTCTACCAGCACCCTATCGCCGCCAGCCCCCACCAC